ATATAATGGAGTATTATTCTTCCATAAAAAGAACAAAATCATTTCATTTGCAGGAAAATGTGTGGAAGTGGAGATAATCACATTAAGTGGAATAAGCCAGACTGAGAAAGTCACGCATTGGATGTTTTTCTTCATGGCCTCAAAGTACAAAGGAGGCTTGGGGGGAAATCTCAAAAGGCTCTTAGAAGCACATATAGGTGGGAGGAAAAGGGAGAAGAGTAATGAAAGGGAGTTCAGAATCCTAGACATGCAGATATTATGCCAAAATGAGATGTGCCAGAATATGAGATATGCAGGTATTATGCTCACTAATTTGTATAATTAATATGCACTAACTTTTAAAAAGATTGTTTAAAAGATTTTTAAGATTATGGCATTGTACGCATTTGTGCCCGCTTGCTACGTGACTTGCTTTCCCATTTGATACTGGGTTTAATCAATTTTACCTGAGCAGTGGTGCTTGTAATCTCATTGGTTGACCATAGTTTTATCCCACCTCATGCCCAACTAAGAGTTCCCATGTCTTCTGCACCACCTTAGACCTGCCTCACTGCATGGTTTTCCTCTATAAAAGTCCCTGCAAGAGACAACTTCCCGGGGGGAAACTATCCACTTGGGCCCCGCCTCCTGTCCCTCTCTCGGGACAGGAACTTTCTTTCTCTCAATAAATATAGTCTTCTCATTGAAAAAAAAAAAAAAAAAAGATTATGGCATTTTAAATGTACAGTTGGGTAATGGAACCATAAGGAAATATGAGGACGTCATTATTATAAAATCTCGAGTTAATAGTATGATAGTCTGTAATTGGGGTAAACCTTAAGACTCACCATTCTTCCTGGCACTCATGCCTTGTGTGTAGTCCCCTCCTCTGGAATTTGGGCAGGTCCTGGGACTGGCTTTAACCAACAGCATTTATGAGGGCTTTGGTATCATTACAAGCTCTAAAAGACTCGCTATCACTGGCACAAAATAATGTCATGCTTCTCCAATCCTAAGCTTTAAGAAGTCCTAACAGATTTGAGTATCTTTGACATCCTTGAAGATCTTGATACACTGTTTTGTAGATACCATGTAAAAAGTCCCGCTGGAAATAGAAAAAGCTTTCTTCATTAAGCTATCAGCTGATCCACCAACTGAATGTAGCCACAGGAATGACCACCAGCAAAAATAAGTAGAACCACCTAGCTGGGCACAGTTCAGAAAGCAGAACTCCGAACAAATAAATGCATTATAAAAACCAATGTTTTCAAGTAGTTCGTTGGGCAGCCCAGGGACTTCCTTCATACTGAACTACATCTCCAGTCCTTTTGTTTTTAATTTTTTGAGACTGAGTCTCACTACATTACCCACATAGGCTTGAATTTGCAGTCTTCCTATGTCACCTCCCAGAGTACTAGGGTTATAGGATGTGCCATAATATCTAGCTGCTGTTTGATTTTTTTTTTTTTTCCTGTTTTTGCACTACTGGGATTGGAACCCAGGAGTAGCTTACCACTGAGCTACACTCCCATCCCTTCTTAGTTTTTATTTTGAGTCAGGGTCTTGCTAAGTTGCCTGCCCACATAAGGCTTAAACTTACAGTCCTCCTGCCTCAGCTTCCCTCAGGGGGCAAGTTACAAATGTGTGCTATTGTACCTGGTATTCTTTTTCTTGACTTAGATGATGGCTATATGAATACAGTAAGTCCTTGACTTTACAAACAAGTTCTGTTCCAGAGAACAGGTGTAGGTCAGATTCATTCATAAACCAACAAAGTAAGTCTTACGCAGTACACCTGTGAAAGTTTGCAACTCAGATGTTCATAAATCAGAGACTCACTAAGCTATGCATCTGTCTTATATGTTTTTCTAAATATTTTATTTTCAAATAGAAATCATTATTTGAAACAGTTGTGGTGGTCCATACCTTAATCCCAACACTGGAAGGCTGAAGCAGGAGGAACTAGTCCAGTCCCAACTAGAACAACTTTGTGAGACCCTGCCTCAAAATAAAACATTGAGAAGGTGCTGAGGATACAGATCATTGCATAGGCCCTGGATTCAATTTCTGTTACCAAGGAAAAAAAAAAAAAAAAAAAATTGTTTTCAGTAATTGATTATCATGTTGTTTGATGTTCTTTCCTTTACATTTCTTCTGTTTGGAGCTGTTGAAATTCTTAGATCTATGGAAGTATAGTTTTCATCAAATTTAAGAAATCTTCATCCACTGTTTCCTCAAATGTTTGGTCCAACCTTCAATTTGGAACTCCTATTATCCCTAACTGAGGCTACGTGAAGTCCCATAGCTAACTGATATTCCTGTAATTTTTTTAGAATTGTGTTTTCAGGGCTGGCCAAATAGCTCAGTGGATTAAAGTGCCTATAAGCAGAAGCAGGAGCCAGGGGTTTGATCTGTGGGCCTGCCGTGGTGGTGCCCGCCTGTAATCCCAGCTCTTGGGAGGCTGTAAACAGGTGGATCACTACATGTGATCTGGTAGTGAGACCCTGAACACCCTGTAGACCCTTCCCTAAAATACAATAAAAAAAATGATTCGTGTTTTCTGTGTTTCTTTTGTATAGTTTCTGTTGCTTGCCTTTGAGTTCAGTATATTTTTCTAATGTCTAATATATCAGTCCTATTCAATGTATTTTATTTCAGATATTGATTTGGATCTTTTTATGACTTCCAAGTTTGTACTTAATTTTTAAAACATGGAAAATCTTTATAAAAACTTTTAATGCCTTTCTCTGCTAATTCTAACATCCAGATCAATTTCAGTTGATTTTGAAATGATTGCTTATTCTTTATACTATACTATGGAATATCCCTTCTTTACATTTTTTTTAAATACTCTTTTCCTATTTTATTTTATTTATTTATTTATTTGGCGGAACTGGGGGATTGAACTCAGGCCCTTGCACTTGTCAGGGAAGCGCTTATTCCACTGAGCCATCTCCCCGCCCCCCCCCTTCTTTACATTTTTGATCACCTCAGAATGGAGTTGGGCATTTCAAAGTTTATTTGGGAGGCAGTGCTGAGTGTTTTGGTGTCCGTCTACATCGTCTTGAATTTTTTAAAGGCATGGTTTAGTCACTTGATAGCAATTTGATCCTCTCAAGTATCACTTTAATGATTTCTTAAGTGTTCTGTTTTAATGCTTGTCTAGGCTACTTGACTGTGGTGGATTAACTAGTGGTCAACCTGTAACACCCAGCTGAACTGAGTCAGCATGGTGCCGGGTGTGGATGGTCCGCCTGAGGGTCGCAGCTGACAGCATGAAAGAACTGAAGTGGAAGATGGTGTACTACTGTTGATTCTTCTGGAGAAGCTTGTCATGTTGGGTTTCCTGATATGAACTTAGCTGTTCTCAGCAACCTGGCTGTTGCCAACCTTTAGTGTTGCTTCCTGACTCAAGTGCAGATCCCTCAGCCTGCTGGCCCAGATCCTTCATCCCGCTGGTGCAGGCTTTCTAGCTTCCTCCACTGACCTTTGGGCCTTACCAGAGCAGATCCTTGATACAGACTCACAAGAGACATTGTCATGTGCTTGTGTTCTCCAGTTGGGTGGAGGACATCACCATGGGCTCTAGGTTTTCAGCTGGACTCATGCAGGACACTGCCATGGGATCCAGGCCCTCAGCTGGATTCTAGTGTATGGACAGATCTCTTGCACTCTTCTGCCTTTAACCTTTTGGGTGAATATTATAAAATAATCCCATAAAATGTGTTCTGTATTAAATCTATTTCCTTGTAAACCCTGACTGTGATACTTGTTCTGTAGGCAATACATTCCTAAATACTCAGAGCAATGTAAATTACTTGTTTTCAGTGTGTGCTTAGGAGCAGGCACCAGTGGCCAGTATGAGTGTCCCCCTCTAATCGTTCAGGAAGTTGTTCTTTCCCAGGCCTCAGGATCCTATACTTCTTCACCACACATGCTGCTGTCAGTACTCTGCAGAGTATTTTGAGAGGGAAGCTGTGCATACCCCAAGGACTGTGCTGCTTTGTCCTCTGGCAGTCTGTGATTGCTAGCTGTCTTGGTCTCCCTAGATTTTCAGCCGCATCTTCTCCACTAAGGAAGGCCTCATTTTCCTGCCTCTTTACCATAGCCTAAAAGTTTTCTTACAGCACTCATAAAAGTTCGTCTCCTTTGTTTCCTGAAGCTCAGGATCACTTTTTTAAGTTCCCTGATGTCTAGTGTCTTATCCACCTTGGCTAGAAGACTCCACACATGGTTTTAAGAAGTGAATAAAGCATTTTTTTTTCAGCACTGAAGGTTGAACCCATGGCCTTCATACTGAGCTATATTCCTAGTCCTGTTTTTTATTTTGAGAACAGGGTCTCTTGAATCATGGAGTTGGCCAGGCTGGGTTTGAACTGGCCATTCTGTCTCAGCTTCCCAAAGTGCTGGGATTATAGGCATTTTCCAAACATTGTCACATGCCAAAAAAACTTTCATGAAAGTCCTTTCCTACTTTAACTTTTTTGGAATTTTAAATTCTCTTCATGGTAGATTTCTTGGTCTAAGTAAGTTTTCTGTCACCCCTACAGCTTACCTCTGAGTATTGATTTACTGCAGAACCCAGACTTACTGGAAACAACTGTTAATGATATAATTGAGGTATCAGACACCACAGAAACATTTCCAGCACTGGATGACATTAACACGGCCACTAGGCCGCCTTGCTTAGAGGAAGCTGAAGTTGAATGTGCCAGTAAGTACATATTCCGTACTCCGTCGGTGACTTTTAGCTTTATCTTCCTTTGACATGAGATACCTATATCACTTCCTCCAAGAATATTTTATGCAGTAGTTGAATTTTTTAATTTAATTCAGAATATTTATGCTTTCTTGCCTTATTTTGGCATAAGAACTTTGAAATATTTAAGGTGATGTAATTAAGGCTATTAAGTAAGTGTAAGATAAGCCAGTAAGTGTATGTATTGTTTATAAATCAGTCGGCCTTTATGAGTTTTTGTTTGTGGTTTTATTTCACTTTTTGAGTACGAATTAAGGAAAAAGTTTATTTAAGATTAGTATATATTTGAACATTATATTAGTTCTTGGAAAGTATTTTATTCATAAAGATTAATGTTGTTGCCTAGTTTCAGAAGGAGACATAATATACAATGAAAGCTTCTTTCCTTAATTTTTTCAGAGGCTAAAAGGAGAAACTAAATTGTTCACTGAAAATATCTATATGGAAGGCCAGCCACATAGCTCAGTGGACTAAAGCACCTGCTTAGGAAGGTGCAGGGACCAGGTTTCTATCCTAGGAGTGCCAGCCCCGTCCCCAGGGCAACTGAGACTGTAATCCCAGTGCTTGAAAGGCTAAAAACAGGAGGAGCACTACGAGTCTAATCATTTTTGTGAGACCCTATAAGCCCTGTACTAAAAAACAAAAAAGAAAAAGAAAATGTTTAAATACTTAAGAATCCAATTAGAGCAGAAAACATGCTCTTAAACAGGAATTTTATGTTGAAGTTTAGTGTAATGTGAGTCTCTTAAAGCAGCTTGTATTTATGTGGTTCTTGCCAGTTTTGATTCTGCACAGGTTGTAGTTAGACACGCGTTTTAAGTAATTCGCAGGAAATTGCCTGTCAGTGCTGTCATCTCTAAATAAGCTATAGAATACGGCAATAGTATTTCGTATTTCGTATTTAGGAATAAACAGTGTTAGTGAAAAGTCACACAATCCTGTTTAGTAGGACATGCCGCAGTGCCACTGTTGAGTGGGACTTAAAGTTTGTTCTTTCATAACTACTACAAATATGTGGCTGAAGAATTGTTCTGCTATACCATGGTGGTTATTTTTATTGACACCTGCCATGTTTAAAGTGTGCTTATTGGGGCTGGAGAGATGGCTCAGTGGTCTAAAGCACCTACTTGGAACAAGCTTGGCAAAGCACAGGGACCGCAGTTCAATCCCCCAGCACCACATGCCAGCCAGCCGCACCCCCTGGTGGGCTGAGCTGGCCACACACACACACACACACACACACACACACACAAAATAATAATAATAAAAAATAAATAAATGTTAAAAAACTTAAAAAAAAAAATAAAGTGTGCTTATTAGTCTAAGGTCAGTATTTTCATTTATTAATGACAGTAATGTAATAGAGATTTTTAAAGATATGAGTTATTAGAACAAGAAACTCTACTTTTCCTTGATACTTTCTCTGCAGTGATTTTTTTTTAATTTGGTTACTTCAGTTTTGATAGGTTTGCCTTAATTGTACCTTGTTAAAAATGCTTGCTCTTTGTTACTTGAAAGATATGAAACATAACAAATTAAAGCCGTCGTAATTTAGATTCAGCTGTTTCTAGTGTACAGTTTTCCAAGTTAAAATAAAAAGTCTCCTGCTTAGAAATGTATTTCACCGCATGCCACACCGCTCCCACCGCCAGGCGCCCTGAGCCAGTGATAGAGTCAGGGCGCAGTGGTGCATGCCTGTAATCCCAGTACTAGGGAGACACAAATCAGGAGGATCACTGTGAATCCAAGTTGCATAATGAGACCCTGCACAGAAAAAGAAAAAAAAACCAAAAACCTAGAAATGGATTTCAGTTACACTCCATTTTGTGTCCATTATATGAATTCAAGCAGTTTAGTCCCTTCGATGTTGTAATAGCATTGTATTTGCAAACATTGAGTAGAGCCACTAGCAGATTGTACTAGGTTAGGACAACATATTACGATGAACCAGGGAATGCTGGGAAAGATAGGTCAGATGTGATAACTCTTGAAAGTCTGGTCCTGGATCTTAGAGAATCTTTTATGGTGCTTAATTGGTAAATCATAGGTGAGCACTGGTAAGTATAGGGAAGCAAACTTTACATCAGAATAGGGAAGAAATTGTTTTAACTGTTTTCTATAAAACAGAAATAGAGTTAATGAGCTCCTGATTACAGAAAGTATAAAAGAGAGCTTGAATGCTATTTAAATTATTCCAGAAGAAATTCTTCCATAGTGTAAGGGTTTCATTCAGTTGGGATTTATTTGCTTAAAATCGGTCAATGAAAATTAGAGCATTGTTATGTTAAAGAGTTAAGGTCCTTTAAGTCTTTTTTTTTTTTTTTTTTTTTTTTTTTTTTTTT